CATTGCATCCAAACAACAGATATTTGTGAGCTATCCTGGGCATGCAACTACACCTGAATTGTCTTGCATGGACCCGGTCACCGTCATCAGCCGGATTTCTCCGGAATTTGCACTCTTCTTGGGCTGCGCGGTCGGGTGTCTTCTGGTCGATATTTTTAGGTCGTGTCCGGCTGGAAGGGTTAGCAGAATTAGGTCGCCGAACGGCAAACACAGCACCCCCACCTCCACGCCGACCGGCCCGGCCCCTCTCAAAGGGCCGGCCTGAAGAGCGGCTCGGGGGTTCCGCATTCCGCTCCTCCGCAAACACCGCCCTTACCCGCCAAAAACACCATTTAAAAGGCAAACAGAGTGCTGGAGAAGCCTGCCAGCTGGCCGCCGTGCCCGGACCTGAGACTGCGGCGTGGGCGCAGCCGGATGTAATTACAGAGCCTGCGGGACAAGCTGCCGCCACGCGGGCCCATCGCGACCTTGTAATTGAGAGGGGATCGGTGAGAAGTTTTCCTCTGCGATACTCGCCAGGCAAATTATAGGACGAGGTGGCGTGACTGAAGCTGAAAGCAGCTGATCGCAGACTTTGAGTGCATGCAAGGGCAAAGTTGAACTCAAATAATCAGCGAATCTCAAAATATCGAATGGACACTTAAACGCGTCAGTGAATGACACCGGCATTCAACCAGTGCCGATGCAAATCGATACCGACGCCAAGTGACCCAGATATCAAACGGGCGTGATGCTAACCGATGACGATAACGACTCACACCGATACGACCAGTGATCGACTGAGAGGAGCGTTTATAGCGCCATAATGACCAACACCGATATTAATGACACCGACACCGACACCCATGCAGACTGGCATCAGTACCGAAAAACAGACAGGATTTACAACAATGTGGTCGGAACGAGGGCAAAGAGCCTATTGACCGTCAACAGGCTCCTTCTACCGGATAAGGTAGCACTCTCTGTTGCATGCACCTTGGACCGCACTTAAAATATTATCCTGAAAACCTCGCTGTCATTTTATCAGTGGTGGGATATGAACCGCTCCTCTAGCTCCAGTCTTGTAGGCGGTACATACTAGCCTGCGCCGTGCAATTGGTTTTAAGTCACCTTGTCTTCATTGGCTGCCGAAATCTGACGCCAGTACATAAAACAGTCCTCAGACTGGCATATCGTCGTTTTGCACTTGTGTGCGCATGGCTGGCTGCACCCGTAGCCCATGCTATTTTCATCACTATGATCCATTTATCCCCCGTTGAACGGTGTTGCTCCAATGTTTTTCAGGTATCGTATCGTCAGATCTTCGGTCAAATCGGGGCCCAGCTTTGACCCGGAGGCTTTGCTGGTCGTTTATCTTTTTCAGATTCTCAGGGTAGAATTTTACGCAGTTTCCAATGAAAACTGAAAATAATTTATAAAGGTTTTCTCTTCGGAGCAATGGGAGCAATGACCGCAAAACTTATTCGCTGCAAAGAGGGTCACGATCTAAACGGCACCGGATTCTCCAGCACTGTTTCTATGGCCATTTTGTAATACTATCATACTCATGAAGTTGCATTTAAATAAAGGATGAAAGCGCCTCGGCAAAAACAGATTCCGACCATGGCACAGCCTGGTCCACTCCGCACATCTTAAGTTGGTTGTGGGACAGGTTGCACATACAATGTGAGGTGAGTTCATACAGACTGCAGCAACCTACCCCTGTGCACTAAATCATGCAGATGTGAAGATGCTGGGACGCTGCGCGAACACGGTGTATGGGTCAAATGCCCGGCGCGAATATCGCTTTCGTGTCGAAATTGCACCGGTTTGTCGCATCTCACCCTGACGTCAATCGATCGCTAAGCGGATCTGGTAGGAAAGAGATGGTGTCATTATCAACATTATAGCTGGCATGGTAGCAGGCATTTTGACTCGTTCCTGCGGGTTGATGTATCAGCCATCCCCTGAGGCAAATAACCCGGTCAACCATAACGCATTATTTACATACATGCTTTGCATACATCTCCTTGTGCCGCATTTCCTCGCGTATGCCATGATTCGCATCGCACGTCTCTGTGCCCCCAATTATTCACGAGTTTCTACCACTCCAGCCTTAACGTTTTTTTTTCGCGGAATCGTTCTTGTTGCGTTTACATTTACATATTTTATTATATTGCATTTGTAGCACTGCACAATGCACAAGCGAGCAAGCCTTCACGTTCTTCATTGCAAATTTTACCATCACATGGCGAGAAAAGTTTGTGCAGACATTTCATAAGCACACTACAAACATGGGCAAAACGGATGATTGTTCCTTCCCCCCCCCCCCCCCTCCTAGGTTTTTACTAATAGAAAGCCAGTGAGGCGATCGTGCAATAAGTGATGTCTCCTGCAAAGATATCACTGCGTGTAACGTGCGTCCAGTCCGATATCCCACATCTCAATCGTATACAAATGCGCCATGTTTATTATTTTGTCTTTGTCGTGCATTTGTACATGATAGAACACCGCGTATGACAGATAATTGATCGACCCCGTGGGTGCATCAAACATAGCACCTGCACTTGGTTCTCTGCAATATATATATATATATATATATATATATATATATATATATATATATATATATATACCTTCAGGAGTGTAGTTAAGCAGAATCAGTGGGGGGATAAGCAGGGAAAAACAGCAAAGCCTATTAGCACAACACCTATGAAATGTGTTTCTCCACGGATTTGGTCCACTTCTTTCTCAAAGTTGGGGATGAGCTGGGGATGGATCCCCCATCCCCGCCCCACCCCTCAGCTGAACAGAAAATACGCGTCTGCACATCACCCAGTTTTGCTGACGGCCGTTCGTATCTTACCAGTGCAGGAGCGGCGGTGTAGCACTCCACGCTCCCATGACGCCTGGTGGTGTGGCACTCCATCCTCCCGCGGCGCCCGGTGGTGTGGACGGTTTATTCTGTCTCGCTCAGTTGTACATCGTCGTTCGATTAAGTTGTCTGGTGTGACACACTCAAGACACGGCACACATGAGAAACACAGCAGCACCAAACTCCATAAAAGTAGGGATCCATGACGTTCAGGCTCATGGTCTCGAGGTATCTGCCTTAATCCGAGCAGCGGCTATGGCATCCTCTTCCGGATCCTATCCTACCATGGGACACGCTGTCCTCAAATAATTATAGATGCGACAGTGGGATATGCAGCGCATATGGTTTCCGGGTCTAAAATCAAATGTGTGTGTCGCAAAACCCGAGTGTCTATCACTTTGCAAATGCGGACACAGGGAAGGGTGACAGTCATGGCCAGAGCCTCGCCCTTGATTGTTCCACATGGGGTCACGTATGGAGACACACACCCGCATCACACAGAGTCTGGTGATAAAAAGACGCTCCAAGGCACGAATGATTAACTATGCACAAGGAGCAGTAGGAAAAAGGACAAGGGGATGGAACGACGGAATTCCGGGGAGTACATGAGAATCCCGACTTGTGCAATATTAGATATTTCATGCGAACGAATACGCGCGAAAATAAAGCGCGGAGAAATGCCCGGACAAAGATGTGTGTTTCTAAGCAATGCCATACAAAGAAAGCATTCGGCAAGAAGCGTGATGCTTCATTGCGTGAATATTCTATGTTAAATTATGAATCATCGAGTTTAAGATGAAGGATGATAAGCGTCAATGCGCAATGTGCGAAAAATTTGTTACATAGAAATACAATAAAAAGAATGCAAAAAATAAGTAAAGTACGATAAAAATAAAATAAAAAGAAATACATAGAAAAAAATGGGACACACAGAACACCGAATAAAAAGCCAGGCGGGTATCAGAACATGCGTTCGTCGATCTGCGTACAAAAATTGGCAATACGAAGGTTTGCGTATAAAGAACTGCAATTTCATTGCGTGCCGTTACAATTGTTCGTTGTTGCCGTCGTCAAACGTCTCCATTCGTGTCGGTGTGGCACCATCGCCAATGCCGACGACGGCACACTGGCGTATCGCCAGTGTGCCCATGGCCACGTCGTGGAGGTCTCGCCCAGTCTTGATTCGCGTTGTACAAAGTTTGTGCATTGAGTATACCTTATATTTCCCATGTTCGTCAAAGAGCGTGAGTACATTTCCCTGAACAGGAATTCCGGTTCCTGTCGCTAAAAACTGCATGATGCACGATATGTGCTCATAACCAGGATGTACGCGTGGTGTGTAATGAGCCAGGCCGGCTCGGCTGACGGCGTGAGTTGGAACAGTACCCAGCGCCCAAGTGAAATCCTCTTACCCTGCGGTCTCAATCGTCACCAAACTAGCATCTACTTTAGCTAAAGCCGTCCCAGTGGCGCCTAGGCTAGAACACTGGGCACGGCGCACCGCGATAACAGCGGCTAACGCATTATGCTCGATATTCATAAACAGTGGGCTCGGTTTTCACTTTTACCGTCGTGTTTCCTCGACAAAAAAGGGAACACCCCATCGGCAGGTGGACATGGCCTGGCATTACGCGTCAGGAGCCTGCTGTGCTCTGGGGCAAAATTGTTCCGTATCTCGGATTACTTATGTAGGCATCAGGGTTAGTAAAACAAGCCACGCTTAGCGATGGGTCATCAAAGCCGCACTCTAGAAAATAACTCATGTGAATTGACCACTGCATAAAGAAAGTCAACAGGAGGAACAACAATACTTATTCAAAAATGTCAAATTTGAGAGATGCTCCATGATCTTCTACTCGCATGCAGTATATCTGCAGGTGAATACACCTTGTCATATTGATGAACAATCTCCGTAAATATAGCGTCCGAACATGGTGACATCTTCAGGTGAATGCACCTTGTCATATTGATGAACAATCTCCGTAAATATAGCGTCCGAACATGGTGACATCTTCAGGTGAATACACCTTGTCATATTGATGGACAATCTCCGTGAATATAACGTCCGAACATGAAAAGGTGCTTTATGGCACGAACGATATTCGCACAAAGCCTTTTGAGTTCTCAGTTAAAAAAACTTTACACCTAAATCGCTGGTGATTATTTATTCGCAAATCGTACCACCTTTACACACACAAAATCAGCCGACAACAAATAATGAAAGCACGTGGTGTAAATCCCACCAGAGAACACACGAAATGAAGGTTTGTCTCGCAACGTAAACACAATACGTGCATACACTTCAGCGAGCTCCCTTAAGGCTACCAACTACGTCGCTAAGACCGAGATCGTCGGAACTGAGGCCGCATACGCGGCGATCTAACTCACTGACACACCATCCCAACACTACCAGGCCACCTTCAAAGCGACTCCACGCCCGTCAAAACCGCTATGGCACTGCCGACTTCCTGTACAAATATACAGCTTGTTTCTTTTTTTAGTTACGTTGGATTTTCGTTTCTGTTTTAATTCTCACCTTGTCCTCATAACCTTTATCAACTTCATTCTCGTAACCTCTGATACAATCAGCAGTGCTTCCGCACCGTAAACCCTAGCCATGCACCCGCGACGCAGGTCTAGGCCACCTTCGGTTTCCAGTTATTGACGAACCTACGGCCGCGCTCGATGGCTGTCTCCACCATGTTGACGGTGTCCGCGACGTCTGTCAGCGACCAATCAGCGAGCGCGCGCGCCTTGAACAGGTTAGTGAGCTGCGGCAGCACCTGCGTCGTGAACGGCAGGAAGGGCACGGTGATGACGCCGATCAGCGAGAGGCAGACCACCACGCCCGCCAGCAGCAGACCAGTGATGATCCAGTCGCCCTTGAACGTGCCCAGGTTCAGCGGACCGCCTGCGGACGGGGTCAGCAGGTCAGGGTCAGGGCGAGGTAAGCAGGTCAGCTGTGCGCGATGGTGATCAGCTGGCCCAGCTGTGATCACGATTTTCAACGCCAGGACTGGCAATTAGAGCGAGAATGTTGACAGCTGCCTAACAGAAGAAGATGAAGGAGTAAAGAACGTTATGTTAATCATATGAAGCGTCTGTATGCCTGCAAGATGTCCGTATATTATACTATTTGCTAGACGTTCTATCTTTGCACTGTAATAATCCTGTAAAGCTGAATTGCCTTCTTGGATAATACGAGACGATTGAGCTGTAAGCGTGGTGCGAAATGCGGCAGCAACTCAGGCCAGTGATACAGCGACCCAAAGATAGTGCAGGTGGCATTTCAACACCCCCGCATCTGTTAAGCTGAACAGAAACTTTGTGAAATCACAGCTCTGGCCGTAAAATGGGACAAACTAAAAAAGCACGTCTTGGGCAAGTGCCGCTCAGATCCGACGCCTCTTCGCACTACAAAATGACAATAATCCGTGTAATCTGGCTGCCGAGTACGCGGCCCGTGGGCGGCGTCCGGCCGCACCTGGTGAGATGTAGGGGGAGTACGAGGCCTCATGCTGGTACCCGCTGGACTCGAAGTGCGCCGGCGCACTGTACTCCTGGGCGGGAGCGGCGTACGCGGCGGCGGGGGCCTCGTACTGCGGCACGTCGTACTGCTGCGGCGCCTGCGGGCGTGACCTCGGGTCAGCGGGGCTGCAGGGAGTGCATGACGACCTCGGCGGGCCGACACGTCGGTGGAATGTCTGGGTAGTGCGGGTCGCGTTGCTAGTCCCCCGAAACACTGATAGGACTTCGGTGCGAACGACAGAAGTGCGAGGCTGAGCCCGCATTGGTGTTTAACACAGTCAAATAAACTAATGTGATCCATGGGATTTCCGCATAACTTTACCTAATATGTGGCTAATGGCAGCGTCTTGGTTCTGAAAAGGACGCTTAGAACTACGTAAGTTGTTCAGTGCATTAGCAAGGAACATTATTCGCATAAATAAGATTGTAGTGCTAGCCTTGTTCCTCGAAAAAACCCAGGAGAATGGAGATATAGTGAGGTTCGATGCGGATTGCCACATCTCCATTATCCTGTTTTTTCGAGGAATAAGGCTAATACTACTGTCTTATTCAGACGCTTAGAACATAAACATTCACACAACGCATTATAAAAGCATCATGTCATAAATCGGAGTCAAAAGTAGGCCAACATGAATGTTGATCAACCAGAATGTTCATAGGTGAGCGAGCATAGTCGTTCTTTCCGTCTTTGGCCCCGGCTTACAGTACACCACGATTATTTTTAGCCACCATTCTGCTCTCAGTGACGATCTTGAGTCTCAACTTTGCGCTCAACCAACAGAAGAATCTCTATGAGGTAAAAGCTTTTATCCCGACAAAAATGTACGCTCAGTAGACCAGGAGGCACTGGGCAAACGACGGCATGAAGCACGCATTGGCTAAATTGGCAAAACCCGACGCCTCGAGCTGCCCATGACTAATCGTGACCATGAGCACAATCTGAAACATCGAGTTTTGTTACTGTAGAACACCGCCAGTGTAGAAGCCGTCCAGCATCAGAGTACCATCCTGTCGGCCGACCACATCCATAGCTTAGTCTAGCATTAGACTAGCATAGTCTAGCATTAGACTAGCATAGATTAATGAGTCAGATTCATCTTATATTACGACTATGACCGTGCAGCTCATGGCCTGGCGGGGTAACCTCTCCACACCACGTGATCACAAGGTCACGGGTCACCAGCCCGAGCGCGTGCCAGCCGGAGCGGCCTGCGCCGCGCGACTCACCTGGTACTCGGGCTCCGGCGCCGTGTAGCTGCTGGACGCCACCTGATCGGCGGCCGCCGCCGACAGCAGACCCAGCAACACAGCCAGAGCCGACCTCATCCTCGGCTGCCCGGTGGCACAGACAGGGTCACACCAGTGCAGGGCTGGTCATGCCGCCAGACCCACGGCAAAGAACAGACGTCATAAGCAAAACTTCGCCGCTGGTGCTGGGGCAAGATACTGCGACATGTCAACGTTTTGCACATTGTGGCACACTGGGGTCGACCAATCGAATGGATGCGCACATATTGGAGTAACTGTAACTAATGGTGAGAACCTGAATGTAGACACACATGAACGAAAGACGATCAGAAATAGAATGATTTTTGCCGGGCACAGGTACCGTTGGTCAAGAACGTTACCATAGCGCATGCATATAATCTCAAGTTCAGACTAAGAGTAACAGGGTGCGTAGAACACAAGTGAGTTTTCAACCATTTTATATTTCTTATTTGGACAGCGCGGCTTAAAGCAACGTTCCCGAAGGCATCATGTACACCTACTGATGAATGTTTGATACGAGTATGGAGTGAAATACTTCAATACTTCCCCGTACCTGTTTGGACGTTGTTCTCGCTTAGCAAGAACGGACACAAATGGCAGGAGGTCACGGCAAAGTACGAATCGGTTCCCCTGTTCTTGACTCCGCCCTAGTCTCGGTCGTCATGGCAACCACGCCATCCGAGGGCCGACAAATATGAGGGAGGGCCCACCTACCGCGCACCATGTGTCATAAGGTCCCCTCTCTGTATCGTGGCGCCCCTGTACCCCGATTATCGGGCAGAAAAGGGCGGTCCAAAGTGCCGGGGCTTAGCGCAGGTGAACCATATTTCTTGCGGCAGATCGTCTCCGGTAGTAGAGCAGCGAGCGCGCCTTGACTATCCGCTCGTCTTCGACTTGGTCCGACTCCTCCAACTACCTCAACTACAGGTACGGAACAGTCGCGTTGCAGAACGCGGGCAAGGAGCTTTGGTCAGACCATTTCACTGCGCAGTACTGTGGAGTGTGGCTTATCCAACGACAAATTACCGCTCGTTGGCCGGGGATATGTTTCGTTCTTGAGGGTTTTGAAAGATTGGTCTATGATATTTATTTTCCTCGTTTTTCTGTCTTAAGTCGATTTAAAAACCTTAATCTTTGGACCTTGCAGGAGGATAGGTGAAATCTCACGTGGGTTGATTTCCATTCTACCTCGTCAGCAGAAACAGCTACCCGATATAGCGCTGTAAGACACACCATTTGTGGCCACGCATTTGGGCTTTTCGGCCGCGTAAACAGCCTTTTATTAGCCGTAGCGGATCTCCAATAAGGCTAGAGCAACGGATACGCGCTGCCAACTGGCAGTGAATGCGTCCAATAATCAATTTCGGAGGGGAGACGCCCGGAAGATGATTTATCAATATTCGCATTCTTAAATGATGTTCTTCATCAGGCTCTCTAAAAACGTAAGGCAGCGAGATATAGACCTCTTGGACGGCACAAGAAAATCTTGTCTAGACAGCATGTTAACATCATAACATGATAAGGTGTCTCGTGTGTTTTTTATCGGTTGACGTACAATAGCATTCTTCTTCAGAAAGGTATCTCTTCATCACATTGGTGTTGATCAGCAGCTACCCGTAAAATGAATACACCATGGTCCTAGCACCCATATGCATTCCTTTTGAGTCCTTCATCGCACATTAGTGACCGAAAGGAAATATTTCAGTAAGTTGTACGGCTTTTCGGGGCCCGGTCTCTTCAGTCGTCCAAATAACTCCTGCAGAGTTCTGTCTTGATGGCTTGTTATGAAAACTGACGGTTGACAGAAACGCGCTTTAAAATATTGTTTTCATATGACTATGAGTGTTCACATGAGGAGAAGAATGTCGCTTCGTGCGTACCCTAGATAATGTTGGGGAGGAAAAAAGAGTATGCAAAAAAAAGAGATGGGATGTATGCATCTAGCTACACACATACATTCTCTGCTTTATTTTCAGTCGAGGCCTTTCTGACTGCGTCGGTGAATCACACAACGTCTCAATCATTCCGACCAATCTCGGCTGGTGCGGCTTTGAACAACACTGGACTGCCGCAGCTGGCTGACATTTGACATCAAAGTGTCCAAAACTTAGCTCTTCTTCACCTTAGTGCCCTCAAATCATCCTGATTTGTGCAATCGGAGCCTGGATGCATTCATTAATTGGCACATGCCCTCTTGTTTCATGCGTAAAGCCGTACCTTCAGGTCATATGTGCTCCATCGGCGCGACGTTCTGCCTGGTCTCTGACGTCACGTCCTGCCATATGTCCCTCGTCATGAGCGTTGGACTCACGCCTGGAACTCCCTTTGAATCCCGTGCCTTCGCCACTCCCCTCTCACCTCTGTTTCGCGTCCCGACTCTTCGCTCGCCCCTAATCTCCGCCTCACACCCTGACTTCTGAGTCATGACTCACCGCTGACCTCCGCCTGATTCCCTTCTCTTTTGCTCGCCACTGGTCTCTGTCTCACGTACTGACTCCTGAGTCATGGCTCCTCCCTAAGCTCTGCTTTGACTCCTGACTCTTGGCTCACCTCTGACCTCTGCCTCACGCCCTGTCCGTGTCTTGCAGGCTGACGATGCTGCGACAGACAGTGCTGCTGACGCTGCTGGCGGCCGCGCTGGCGCAGGCACCGGGCATGAAGCCGGAGAACCGCGATTCCAGCTATGCCACCTACGATCCCTCCTACCAGACGTACAGTGCCCAGCCATACCCGTACCAGTCGGGCGGACACGGCAAGTACGGTCTGGGCTCGATCTTGGCCGGCGTGGCGCTGCCATCCGTCAACGACATCATCACCGGCATCATCTACGTGGTGGCGGTGGCGTCGGTGGCCGGCATCGCGCTGGTGGGCGTGGCGCTCGTCCTCAAGCTGCTCGGGCTGAAGCTGCCGCTCATCGCCGACCTGAAGAATCAGGTGCTCTCCAAGGTGGACAAGGTGGACGCGCGCATGCTGGAGTCGGCCTGGGACATCCTCAACAGTTCGATAGAAAAGTTCCAGAAATTGTAGGCGGGCACAGGGAGGCGGAACCGCCGCGGCTCGACGCAGATGGTTCCGGACGATTTCGCTTGTGTGCGTTTGTACATTCCGCGATGGTCGATGAGGGTTGTGATGATTCCTGGACATATGGCTTAGGCTGACAGAGGAGGACGCTGGACGTCCTGCAGCTTATTATAAGTGCTCATTATGTTGCTGTATAATACAAATCGCCACGACGGTGTCTCGGCTTTGTTGTGTCGACCGAGCCCCTCATTCCTCTCGCGACATTTGCCTGCTGCGCGCATGCTTTGGAAACCTAGGTGTGTGGGAGTTTGATGTAGCCTAGCAACTATCTACATCGTTCATGTGTCAATTTTCTATAACTGTGTATTTAAGTGTGCCTTATTGTCATAAGTTAAATAAATGATGCATAGCTTTTACTGCGATTTTACGAGCAAGGATATGACGTCAATAACGGCCACGTATCTTAGTTTATCAGTTGGTGAGTCACACCGAAAAGATATAGAGAGATAGAGAAGTTGTGATGGGCTGGGTAACACACTTATCAGCGTGAGAAACTGGTTTTCTCGCGAGAAGTCGAAGAACTCGCCAATGAAGGTAAGTCCCGAAATGGTGGATTTTACTCGTTACCCAATGCATTCCTTTATATTTTTGGTGATTTTTTTCGCATTCTTGTGATTTTTGCTGGTGGGAAAGAGACCCATTTGTTTCCAATAGTGAGCATTATGGTATATCGTCTGAAGTATCGCATTTCTGTATGCCCCTCTGGCATAAAAAATTGCTATGCTTACATTTTGCTTGCATCAACAAACCAGCGACCAACTGCAAAAATGATATCTATTGATAGAAGGGGGTTTGCTAAGCGGGACAAGCTCACTCCAATCCCCATTTACGGTGTCTGGTGGGAGGACACCGGGTCAAGGAAGAATGTCATGGCCAAAGGTCACTACAAGAGAGCAGTGATGACTGCTAGTTGGTGTATGGAGATTAATCCCTAAAGACATAGCAACATTTACCTGGTGACAAGAGCACGTTGATACCCGTTAACAAACGCGCCATGGCTCGATTCCGTTTAATTTCTCAAGACGATGTTGAGATAAATCCCTTTGCAAAACATATTCTGCATCAAGATGTTTCAGTTTGCGGGGGATGACCATGACATGGTTGTTATGGTTACAGAAACGCGAATCGATCCAGCGATCCATGACATTGGAAGTTCGGTGCCGCTTAGCATAAGGACGGTGAACACTGTTCCTATCTGTTTAGGGAGGATATGATAGGCGTATGATAGTATGATAGACGTATGATAGTATTATAGGCGTATGATAGTGAAAGCCCACATTGAGAGTTCAACAAACTTGTCGAGGCACAGCAAACATTCTAGAAATATCCTCTGGACATTTTGCTATGAGGCACAGCCTTTTTCGTAAAAAAATAGTTTCTTCGACCGGTACCTTATTTGGCCCTGCCGTACGTCACAGGTACCTCTTTCTAACATGAGCGGAAAATAGGATTAACAGGGAAGAAGTCCATCGCTTGTTGTCAGGCATATGAAAATAGCCGGTAAACGTTACACTGGAAGCGTTTTCGTTTCGTTGTCCTGTAACAATTCGTCATTTTACATTTGCGTATTTGGTCCTACAGCACCAAATCATAATGTACCGCAAAAGTGAAACGTGGAATAGGTACATGATGAAACAAAACGCCTCCGGGGTATAATTATGGCTATTTTGTAGTTTCCCATGGATGTTTCCTCCTACCTAGCCTACTTTTTATGTACTCCAGATTTGGTATTTAATAAGGTCCCTGTATAAAGACGCATGGGTCGAAAGGATTCTTTTGGAGCAAAATTCCCCAAAAATTTATCTATGCTGTCCCGAGAATGACAAAGACCGCTCTGATGGCTCTGTTGGTTATTACGTCTGTCTTCTGATCCACTCAGCCGTGTTGTGTTCACCACGATTCGACGTGTTATGGCGAGGTCAGGTGGTCGCTCTATACGTTCGCTATTTGCCCTTGACAGGTATGGCCTGCGTCTTGTGGCAGCGGCCGCGTTGAAGTGTCAGGTGACGTCAGAGGGCAGGATGGAGCGTGTCGAGCAAAGTGGCACGTTAACCTCTCGCCAGAAAATTCTGTCATCGACCTGGAACTTCACGATCAGATGGCGGGGGTCAGGGCTCACGCAACAAGCATTCCTTGGCGTGAGCTCTGATCTCAGAAACCTGTCCATTCAGAGAGTCTGCACGCGGTATCGAATATATATTATATATTGGAACGGAGGAATTCGTTTCGCCGATCGCTTTTAAACACAAGCTGAACGAAACGAAGCACGTTTAGCTAGGACCATCATTTTAAACGAGCCATCATTTCCCGGGTGAAATGGATTCAGTGCGGAGCTTTTAAGATTATTTTGAAAGGAGCTCAAACATTTCTTGCGTCTTTCGATTTTCAAAATAGCTGCAGTCCCAAGTGTTTGGCGCGAAATTTAGATCTTACGTGCGTAGCAGGAAGGCTGAAAAGCGCATCAGACAAATGAAAGGACACGGAACAAGCCGCATGTACTAAAAGGGCGCTTCTGTGGCAGGAACGCAGCCTTATGTACACGTTTGCATCTAACTAGTTAATACCGAAATGACTCAAATGCACGTTAAACCATAGTGATGATTGATTTTAGGACAGACTGGGAACGTAGTCAAACTCCTTTCCTAGTGTGCCCAGGGAGATAACTTTTGACGGTAAGTTAACCAACCTCTTTTTTCACAAGATTCCAGCAATTTCGCATCCTATATGTGCCGCCAGTGAGCCTGTAATTCCACTGCAAGGGGGCATTTTGTCAAGGTAATCCAGCATCGGGATGCTTGATTGATTTCGCCGTTGTGGTCCTGCACAGCACGCTAAAGCAGCCTGGTGATTCCAGCGGGGTTTAGGTGGGCCAAAGTAAGTGTCTTTATAGTGTGCTGACGACGCCATTGATATCTGCCAAGAACCTACAACCTCTAAAACCAAGAACCTACAAACAAAGATACCAATAACAACATATTACCTTGTGGACCAAGTTTGAAGCGGGTGGACAGCGTTAAGGTTCGAGGGATTTCTTTAGAACTCCCAGGAAAACAAAACCGACAATAGTTTTACTGCAACCTGCGTTTCCTGAAATCAGAGACAGAAAAATAGAAACCGAAATAAAACATTTTTGGGCGCATAACGATTGTAAAGTCCCGGGTTTTCCTCTATGCTGGTAAATGTTCTCCCCCCACTGCCAGTCCGAAGCTGGGAACTTTAAGGGACATGCAGAACCTCCTTCGGGCGTTAATTTGGAAATGCAAAGGAAATCAAACAGCGCACTCAGCAATCATCCAGACTTACCCTTCAAGGCAACATGCAATCCAACATCATTCCCTAACATGATGTATCGCCATCCCCTGGCCAAACCACGTCCCCTGCGGGCGGCGGGACCTTGCTTCGGGACAAAGGCTACCGTTCCCTGCTTCATACGTTCACGCCTCGAATTGTTGCTCCGCATCAAGTGCAAGATCACAGTTGACGCTGTTTGGTTCATATCATGGTATTGTGTCTCCAGCCTGCTAGCTGTTAACTAGCTCAGTATGGCGGGGAGCCCAGACTGAGTACATGGCGCAAAGCATGCGACTTGGCAGCCCCATATCAATACGTTACGTTGTAATGTTGACTAGTCGGTGTGGTTTAGGTGCTTCTTCACAAGGGTGAAACCGTCACATTAGAATGGCAGCTGTGGTTATTGAACAATATCAGTCAGATTGTTATCAAGGTAGCAATTGGTGGATACAATAAGTGAGTGAAATTGTAAAAGACATTGGGATAAACTTAGCTTAAGGAAGCATGCAGGCTTGGGGAAGAATGATAGATGTCAGTGTCACTGCCCCGTCAAGAACGTAATGATAATCCATGACGGAATAATCAGTTCGACGTCCTGCTGTCACGTTTCCAATAAACCAAGTGCCCAGATCTTTAACTAATCACATCTTAAACGAGTGTGTATCTCAGTAATCAGGCACTGCAGAGTTCATGACAAGGTATATTTAACAGCGAAAGCAAGTAATACGAACGTTTGGTAATAATATGTCCGATTATGTACGCGTGGCGCGGAATAAATGGCGACAACTGATAATTATCAAATGAAAGCAGATGCACGCATCAGATGCGGTCAGATTTGGACCCTCCAGGCTTTACTCTGCCGCATTACCAGCGTGGGATGCTGCCATTGAGACGTCACTTTATCAACCATTTCAACACCACAGCTACAGTGTCATCGGAACAGAACGCATCAAGTCGCGAAATAAGCCTGTCATGAACTAGCGGCTGGCAGCTATGAATCAACAAATTAAGCGTATCAATAATGCTCTGCGGACGCATTTCACGCCGGACTGACCAACAGCCAGATGCTGTCTATGCGAGCATTGACTGTATGCCTATTATCCCTGAGTTCACGCTAGTACGAGCTTATATAATCGTCAGCCTTGGCGTGAGGACCACGAAGGGCCATCGGGAAGATCAGCTCGTCCTGTTCTCCATCAGCGCGTGTTTGACGGCTCTGCAAGATTGCATTGCGCACTCTCTCCAGCACACCGAGCACCTCCAGCTGGCTCTCGCTCTCTTTTGCAGTTCCACGCTTAGCTGTAGCACCAGGTGCCGTCTCCGTGGCACCCTCAGTGGTCTGTTCGCTGTGTACACTCCCTTCAGCTGTTCCCTGCAAATTTTCATCTGACAATTTCTCAGCTGCACTCTCTGTCCCTGCATTTACCTGATCAGCCCGGTCACTGTCCAGCCTCAACAGTCGCTCTGGGACCTCTGCAACTGCACTGTCTACCGCGTGCTTCTCATCGCCCCCGCTTTCCTGAACGACTCCCAGAACAGCTTTCTCAGCCGGCCCGTCTGCCTCGTCTTTCGTCTTTTCCTCTTCTCCATCAGTGTGCTTCGCTATCGCCTCCTGTACCCTCTGCGTCAGCTCGTCCAGCTTTTCCAGCTTGACGTCCTCCTTCTCCTCCGCCCTATCTAGCTTCAGTCCAGTCAGTGACGTCACGCCCAGCGAAAGACTGATCATCAGAAACAGCAGCAGTGGCAGCGTCTTCACAACCGGGAACAGCACGCGCGTCAGTGTGTCGTAGAGGTAGAAGTGATCTGTCTCGAAGTCGTTCCAGGCCTTCACGAGCACGCTGAACGGATGGAAGGGAGCGTGACCGCGCGCCTGGCTGGACCGGTTGCCGCGGAACAGGCCGATCCGCGGCGCAAAGCCGCACACGTCGGTGATGGCCCAGAGGTAGGGCAGCTGACAGAGGCGGTCGTCGACGCGGTGGCGCGGGTACTCGATGACGCCGTCGGCCTCGGTCAGCACGGGCACCAGCAGGCGCAGGGCCACGCTCAGCAGCTTGGCGTAGGTGAT